CTTTATGACTGACATACATCCCTAGGCCTTTTTACTTTTTATTTTGAAACAGGGTCTTACTAGGTTGCCCAGGCTGTCCTAAAACTTGCAGTCCTCCTGCCTGAACCCCTCCCTGAGTTGCCACGAATGCCTTTCTATATTTCCTTTAACAGTTGCCTAATCATAACCTTATGTATAGAAGCACTCAATCATATATTTTACATATAATTTTCAGTTACATTGACTAGAAGTTGCTTTGTTAAGCAGTTTAATTTACAAATATAAATGTAAGTCATACACGTACCACTACAGATAGCTCAAATGTGATTCTGTGAAATATTTTTTGTGAAAGGAGGTGATAATTATCCTTGAGAACATAGCCAAAACATGAATAGAGGCCTTTTTGCATAATCCAGGTTAAATAGTTGTGTTTCCTCCCACAGCAGTTTTGCTTTTGTCTTATTTTCAGGCTTTCCTCCAACTGCATCCATGAACTCAGGAAGCAGGAGCTGTGTAACATGTATGTTCTAAGAAAGATGCTCTCATCCACATCTCTGAAGCTCAGCAATAAAGTGCATCAATGGCCTGGGGATGTGGCTATTCATTTTCTGCTGTGTCCACCTTGGGCAGCTCCTTTTATTTTGGTGCTGAGGCCTGTGGATGCGTTCCACCCCTGGGTCTCCTCACCATGGTCCAGCAGCCCCTTTTCTCTTCTGCATGTTGGTTGACACGCAAAAGGTTTAGTTTAAGTGCAGATTCCAGCCACTCCTATTAGAGTTCACTGTTGCTTGGGGCTGAGGTTTCAGCTGGGGGCCTACATCTCTGTAATCCCCATCTAGAGAGATGCTGGAGAGGCTGAGATGGGGAGTGAGCAGCAGAACAAGGTTCTGCCCCAGCCACTACCAGCAGAGTGTCACCCATTCATTGTCACTCTTCCCTGGTGAGGACAGTACGTGCGCTGCCCACAGAAGCTCTGAGGCGAGGATGGGGGTGGGAAAGACCATTTCAAGACAAAAAAATGAACAAGTAGGGAGGGACTTTGCAAGGAAAATAACTTTTCTTTAGTTTTTCTTAGTATCTCTTCCCTCTCTGTGAAATATAATACCGAGTGTTACAAGATGTGAGGGTACAAGGTGGTGAGGAGGTTGACCAGTTGATGAGAAAATCACCTGGAGAATTCAAATTAACACAGGCTTATTGCATAAGCAAGGACACAAGTCTGTTTCAAAGAATTTAAGAAAATATATGGGGACTCTCTCAATGTTTGGTTCAAATCTGTAATTGACTAAATAATTGAGACATCAGTTTTTAATGAAATGGTGTTATAAAATCGGTGAAATTTCATCTGGCCAATTTCCCATTTATAATGGACCAAGATGTCCCTCAAAAGACAATTTAGATGGCTGCAGAAATGAGACCAATGGAAGTAGTAACCAATCTCATTGTGTCACTAATTTAGCAGTGAAGGCTGTGTTGTGTGGGGTTTCCACTTTTTCTAGAAGAACTGAGTGAGTGCTGTGGTACTAACCCTCCCTTGGCAGTGTGGAAGTTTTTGATATACTGGTCTCCATGTAAACCTTTGCAAGACCCCTTAGTACTGACAGTGGTATCTCCCCCATATGACAGACACACCTTCAGCCCTGGATAATGGTATTAAATACCTGCAAGAGGAAGTGATACAGCACAAAAGATAGAGTACATGTGTCCACTACTCATGGCGGCCACTGGCAAGCTAGAGAGTGTGTTCTCAGGGCCAAGATTCAGAGCTCTTTGGGATAAACTCCAACATCCTTGGTCTGCTATGGTGCTTCGGGCTTCTTGAACTTGCTGGGCCTGAGAAAGACGAGCTGAGACCCTGCAGCTGGCAAAATTCCCAGGAGTACTTGAGGGCTACTTCCTGGGGACGTGGGTTTGGAATACTGCTAGATTCAGCTCAGTGTCTCTGTCCACAATGAGCATTGCCTACTTGCTGGGCATAAGGATTGGGTGGGGTGGGGGAAAAGTAGTGGTAGGAAATAAGCCCAAACCAGTAATAACCCCTTTCCTCCTAAACAAACTACTGTTAGGAGTGAATTGACTATAATTTCCAGAAGGCTTTTGGCCATCAGCACTACAATTAGGGAACAGAAAACTCAACCAACAAAAACATATCTAAACCACAGACTAAATCACCACTCTGTTATAATTCACCCTTCCCCAGAGGCACTACGCAGCCAGCAATGATGCCTGCATAAGACCATCCTGGGCTTTCTGAGCTCTCCACAGGCCTGGGAAGATCCCAAAGGACTGATGGGGAATAGGTGAGCACTGGCAGGGTTCTAGCAGTTGGGTTTGCCCAGGTTACTCTTAGACACACTGAGAGCTCCAAGGTAATTAATAATAGCAGCCTTATTCGTTCCCAAGAGTGTCCCAGTTTTGACCACAAATTATATGTTCATTAAAAAAAAGCAACTGAAAATAACCTCTTGCCTCCAAACATTAGCAAGTTCCATTTCAAGTCTCCTCCTAGACGACTTTTCATTGGGACAGACAAACTACAGCCTGCAGGACAAATCAGCCCTGTCCTGTTTGTGTAGGGCCCATAAGTGAAGAATGGTCTTTACATTTTCAAACAAAACAAAAAAGGAAGAGACCATATGTGGCCCACAAAACCTAAAATATTTACTATCCAATGCTTATGGGAAAAGGATGCTGACCCCTGATCTGGCTGTTTGGTCTTGTAGCTTTGGGGGATGAGGATCAGAATCTAATATTGTTACTGCTGTCTTTGATGTCAAAGGAAGGTGGAAGCTCTGTCTCCCCTCCCTACCTGTGTCAAACCCAAGGTCCAGCACTGGGGTGATGCTGGGAGGCCCACTAGGCCCTGGGAAATGGCACTGACTCAAGTGCGGCATTTGACAGGGAGTCTCTGAGGATGGCAAGCACCTCTGCTGAGACCCCCTTTCTCTCTTTGTCCCTCCAAGCATGGTGACCGGAAGAACGAGGAATGAAGGTTGGTTAAAGCCGTCCTATGCTACGCTATAACAGGGTTCTAGGGCTGGGGATTTAGCTCAGCGGCACAGCGCCTGCCTGGCAAGAGCAAGGTTGTGAGTACGATTCCTGGTACCAGAAAAAAAACAACAAAAAAAAACCCCAACAAAACCAGGGTTCTATTTTGGGGAAGGGAATCCTCACAGGCCATGAATCCTGCCCCTTTCCTTGAGCCTCTGTCGCCCTCAACCCCTTTGGTGGTTTCCTCCTGTCACATTCTGAGGTCCAGTGAGCCCCAGAGACCCACAGCGTTTCCTGCTGACTTGATACTTGCACGTCCTCGCATGTGCTGAGGAAGCCCTTGGAGGGACGTGCCTTTCCCTGCATAATGACGACCCTGTCCCATTGACCTGGGAACTGTGTTGCTGCAGCATAAAAAAGGCTGCTTTTCAGAGTCACCTTTTTGACCTCTCAGATCTGAGGAACTGACGCTGGTTCACAGGGATAGTTCTTGGAAAAACAAGATCTATATTGTCCTTCTGACGACCTGCAGAAACCCACACAGAACTGTGCTCTCTTTCTCCGTGAAAGTGAGCTCTCTCGCTTTAATATTCCATTCAGCCCAAACACTGATGACTTCAATGAAGTCTAAGTGATTGGAATGCTGTTCTGTCCTGTGAGTCTCCGAAAGAACGCACATAGTACTCATGGAACTTTTTGCAGGAGTTTATATTTAGAACCCTTTAAAGATGTTGGCCAATCTCAGAAATACTCAGGGCGCTGTCAAAGGTCTTCCTTCCTTCATTCCTGCTCAGCACACTCAGGTCCCTTCAGGAAGGCAGTTGTCAGGGGACAGTGGGCCTCAGTGGGTGACGGCAGAGATAAGGGTAGAACACAGACCTCCCGATGTCTCCTGCCTTTCTGCAGCTTGCATGCTCACCGGAGGATCCCCAAGAACACAGCTGGGTAGAAAGAGCATCGAGCCCCCTGGACATGGTCAGTGAGCAGCGAGTGTGCCGCTGAATGGGACAGAGCTGGTCACTTGCTATTCTGAGGACACTGCTCTAGGAAAGTGGTTGGCATTTTCTTTTCATGTCTTACTCTAATCCTCTCAGAGATCAGGTGATGACTTCACATTTAAGTAAGGACTATGAAAGCCATACTGAATCTTAGACATTGGTAGAAACCAGTGTTATTTTCCCCCTTCATGTCTATGAAGGCACATTGTGGGCAGGGTTTAAACATTTTGAGAAAGACAGCTATGTGTGGCACTCACGTCTGCATCTGCACCTGCACCCTGGCTGCTGAGCATTGGTGTCTCTGTGCTTTCACAGCAGAGCCACCACTCACCTTCCCAGGGTGGCAGGGACTGAGGGAGGTGACGTATCTCTGGGAGGTTTGCCACCCACCTGTCTCCCTCTGTCTCTTCTTCTGAGCTTTGCAATACAAATCTTCCATAGGGTGAATGGCTGCTCTCCAGTGGAGAAGGCAGGCTGCCCCAGGAGCACGTTCATTTTGGTGCTCAGGGTTCCATCACTGCAGAGCTCTGACAGTCACTGAAAGTTTTCTTACATTCCTCTGAGTACATTTGTCTGCACTACACTTGAAGAGCAAGTGAGAGGGGTAGGAAGAGCGATGACCTTGTGTGCAGAACATCCATATCCCTGGACCTCCTCCCTATCTTCTCAACTGTGACCTGCATCACTGCAGGACAGTACGGAAAGCCATTAGTGCCGCCCACCCTCTCCAGCCTTACAGCTTTGACTTTACTGCAGACACTGACTGCGATGGAAACCTTTACATACCCAAGCTCTGTATGTGGAAAGACTGATCTAAAATATCGCTCTCCTTCCTCTGGCTCTAAGAATAGAAGGACAGTTTCAGTTTTGTTTTTTCTATCTTTATTACTTCTTGCTTTTGAGATAGATACAAACAAATCACTCTCTTGTACCACACATACACAAAAAACAGCCATTCTTGTGATTTTTTTTTTAAAGTGCATTTCCCCTTTAACTTTGTGTACAAAAATATTTATTTTTAAAAAACATGCAGAAATTTCTCGACAAGGCACTTTTAGGCGTAAAATGAAGATGAGTCCTCAATTCTACATTTACATTGAGGTAAGAATGCAACATCATCACAGCTGCATGCTTCCAAGTCCCCACACACCCAGCAGTGTCTCCAAACCGATCCACAAACACAACTGTAAAAGTATTCACAACTTTGCAACTTATAACCATGACCAGTACACACTGATTGTCCCTGAAGTGTTCTCCCACTTCAGGAAACTAAGATAAGCTGCCAAATTGTCTTCGGGTAGCCCTGTAAGATCCCATTATAGGTAAGATCCCATTACATGTATAACTCCTTATCTCCAATTTCAGTAATCCTGTGGGGAAAGACAATTAGATACAGCCCCTCATTACCCCCAGCCACCAGCAAAGGGCCTCTGGGACTGCATCCAGCAGAGGAATTTAAAAAGACAACCAAGGTTTGCAATCACTGTCCTTTGGGAGAGAGAAGACCCACAAAGCGGGTATTTCTAAAAAAAGGAGCATACAAAACTCAATTCATATCCAAATGAGTACATTATACTTGTTTTTAAAAAGCAATGCCAGGCCAGGGATTTAGCTCAGTAGCATAAGTGCTTGCCTGGCAAGCCTGACGTCATGAGTTCGATTCCTGGTACCAAAAAAAAAAAAAAAAAAAAAGAAAGCAATGCCATGTAAAGATCAAAAACTACAAAGTGGTTCAAAATTTACACCTTTAAAAAACATATCACTGTTATCACCATTACAGTTAAATCTTAGAGATAAATTCCACCATTGACTCCAATTATTCTAATTTCTGGAGACCCACATAGCTCTGTTCTTTCTCATTAGCTCCCTTCTAACAAGAATAGCTTTTAAAAAGCCCACTTCTCATGCTTTCAAGAAACATCTTCCCAGAAACACTGAAAGTTTATTTATTATATATTTTACATAGTTCAGCTTATTTATTGCACCCAATTTGCTAAAGTGCCCCATGGCACTGTGGGAAATAAATATGAAACAAAAATGGAGTTGCTTCCCCAGTGTCAAACCACAGCATTGCTGCACAGTGACAGGAGGCTGGGACTTCTGGGTAAGTGGAAAGACATGAAGACTGGGGACTATTTGTCATCATAACCAAGAGTGGGGTGAAGTCAGAGGTCCAGGTCAGGCTGTAGCCAAGACTAATTAAGGAGCCTGTCAGCCTCTGAAGTGTGGAGGCCTAAACGGTGAGCTAGGAACAAAGAATCTATCAATGCGTCTGAAAGGTCCTCCGAGAGAATCATAGGCAGACTGCGGCAAATGGAGAAAGGGTGCTGGATGCAGGGGGCAAGAGCAGAAAGGCAAGGTCTTTAGACCTCCAGTAAGGGACTGTCTTCATAATTTATTTATTTAGTCCTCATCATTGAAGTCAGGCAAGTAGGTTCTTTCAAGGGGAAACAGACTCTCTGCAAGCAAGTGAGGACTTGCCTTCTGAACAGAGGGGTGGGGTGCATACCTAGGTGTGTCAGCTGGGGGTTTGCAACCAGTGCCCCCAGCAAAAAGGCTGGGAGAAAGAAGGGGTGGGGGGCTTATAGCTGCTTTAGGAGAGATACTTATCATTGAATTACCATATTTCAAATTTTGACAGGGGAATGTCTCGGGATCATTATTACACAAAACCAAAAAATTTTATTCTAGAGTCACTTGAGGACCTTTTCTTTGGAATGCAGAACCATCCTTACTCTGGTAACTTGTAAATAACAGCGCACTTTGTGCCTTTCGAACATTGCGGGGGGCACTTCTTAACCCAAAATAAAACTCATGACATATATAAGATCAGTTTTGCTTCCACTGGATTTGGATTTATGCTATTAATAGTTCTGTAACATTTAAAGTATCATTTGTATGCTTGGTGCTTGGATAAAACACAGTCTCGCCCAATTTCAGCATAAAATACAAATGTGATTTCCCCATAAATTACATTATCACGTAATCCCAAAGTGCTATCCACCTGGGAGAGGTACAAAACATAAAGCCCTCGATTGTAGACTAGTAACAGCTAGTTTTAGGAACATGAATTACATCAAATACCACTTAGCAATTAAACAGTTAAAACTGAAAATGTTCAAAACGAAAATAAAAGTTCAAAAATGAAAATAAAAAGAAAAATAGTCCCCAACTATCAAAGTTCAGGAGCCAAGGCACTTGATACCTGCATGACACTGATTCCAAAGCCACAGAAAGCAGGAGATCTTTTCAACTAATCTGGAAAATTCAAGCACAAGAATCTGCTTGACAAGTCCAGCAGCTGTGCCTCCAAAGGTCGGCAAAGATGCATTCCCTTTTCCTGCGTGCCTAAGAAAACCTCACTTTTAGTAAGATCAGGCAAATAGAGATTTAAATAGTTCTTCAACCAAACTCCAAAACTAAGGGAAAAAAAATCAACATTTCTACAAATACATATGTAAAAATATTTTTCAAATATCCCTAAGTAAAAACCAATCTTGCCCAGGAAAAATCACAGGTTTGGGGAATCCATCTGACAGTGAATGTCCTAGGAGTCTCACAATAGCATTCTCCAACATACTTTTGTCCAATATGGTTAAGAACAATTAACCACTGCTTTTTCAGTGTTGGCAAACATTTAAGCATATGAGAATGTGATGAGGATTTGCTCCCCATCCTTTTACATACTAGCACACCATAAATAAGAACACCCGAGTCAATGTCCGTGGGTGCTTGCAAAGTGTCCTGGATACTGCAGGCAAAATAAGACCAAACATTTTTTGAGGGCTTCGTGGATCTGCAAATCATATGTTCTAAACACAGAATCAAGATGACTCTCTGGAAAGAGAGATCTATAATTCTTTGCGAAAGAATGAGGCTGGTGAACCAGCCAAGCAAGTGAAAATAAATCAAGTCATTGAGCCTTCTAGTGACTCAGAGTGATGGCGAGTGCTTAGAAAGCTCTTCCAAAAAGCCAAGAGGAAAAGCTACAAGTGTCCTATATGCCAACTGTCCTGCCTGGTCATCACCCTGCAGTCTATGACCCCACACAGGATTTTCCATCACTGGGACGTTGCTGTCCTCTGGAATACAGATGTGGGGTCAGGAAGAGGGGAGAGGAAATGCCTCTCTCAGTCACAGGCTATTTATTTGCCTTTACTCTCTTCTTCTGAACATTAGATGAACTGTGAAAAAAAATGAAAAGCAAAAAAATGAACCTGCAGAAAAAGGAGCTGATTGCATGTGTCCTCTGTAGCGGTGACATCCTGTCAGACGTCACAGTGATGGCTTTGTCACAGCACAGAGTTAAAGGGTGGTCCAAGCAGCAGGAAAGGCCTGGATGGTGGAGACCACCAAAGGTGGATGGGGCATGCGGATCCCACTGGGGAGGCTGGGGACTGAGTGACTTTCAGGTGACGGACTTCCTGCATGCCTCTGAGTGCAGAAAGGAGGCAGGCTCCTCTGGCCTCGCCAGCACTGCCCACAGGCTTGGTTCCTTTCCAGACCCTTCCTGGCACCATTCCGCTCATTCTTATGGCTGCTGCAAGTGTCACAACGTACCAGAGTGTCACCTCTGAGCCAGAAGCCAGTTCTGTGAGCTAAACCCAGCTGGATTTGCTGGTTTCAGAAAAAAGTGAACAGGTTCCTTTCTTTCCACAAACAGTGCCTGATGGCAGTTTAGCTTTGCTCTTCTCTTGGCTTCTCCAAGCCGGGGTGACCGGAGCCACGACTGTCAACTGCAGTCACTAATAATAAGGCCCTAGCTTTTCATATCCTAAGTAACTTGGCCACTCTGGAAACAGTCCATAGGAACAGCGAGGGCTTCCAAACTGATCAAAGGATATTCCAAAATCTGGTCCATGTTGTGGCTCGACCTGAGTGGACTTTAATTCAGCCTGGATGATCCTGTAGTTTTTGCCTTTGTTGCTGTCCCAGTACGTCTGGCCATTGCACTCATAGCACACGGCAAACTCCATCTTTTCATAAGACTGGATCTTTTCAGGTAAGCTGATGTCAAAGGAGAACGTGTCCCTGTCTGAACCGGCATAAGTGTCCTTCACGTACTGGCAAGGAAAGTCTGTGAAGCTTTTCCAAGTGTCGAATGTCATCCTGATTTTCACGATCTTCTCGAATGCGAGGTTCTGAACCTTCACGGTGCCTGTGATGGCTTTGTCCTTCAGCACACAGTTTTCAAGGCAGACACGGTTGGCCTGAAGTCGATTTCTAAAGTCTAAGTAATCTGTGGAGGGTTGTGAAAAGTCCAAAACAAAGCTCTCGCTCTCTGCTGTCGTCAAACTCACAATGTTGTCTAGGAGCTCAGTGATGTTAAACGGAATATCTAATGGGTCATCGAATTCCGAGAACACTTTGACCATTGTCAGGGCCAGCCCTTGGTTGTCCGCGAAGGATACCCGCTTTTTCACCTTTTTCTCCTGGACCACAGGGGCTACCATCCCGCTGGCTTCATCCTTGCTGCCCAGCTGAATGCAAGGCCTCAGGGGCTTGCTCGGCTTCGGCGAGGCCTTGAAGATGAACCGCTCGCGGCGCAAGGAGGGGGCCATGCAGTTGTACCTGTACTCAATGTCCACTGCCATCGCGGGGTGGGAGGAACAGGCAAGCACCCTGGCAGAAGAGAGAAAGACAAAACGGGAGGAAGATCAGATGGATGTTCAAATGCCTCATTCCAGCAGAGAGTGCCGAACAATGTCTCCTTTCACCTGGGTGCACATGGATCAGTGTTAACTCCAGGCAGTCTCACAGGATGTGGGTTTTAGAGAAGAATAAGCATGTGCGCATGTGCGCATGTGTGTGTGTATTGGAGGAGGGGTGCTGGAAGGTGAAAACACAAAAATATGAAATCCACTAGCTTTAAAGTTATGTTCATAGGTTTTTCTGTCAGGATGTCTTGAGCCCCTCAGTATGCTAATGAGCCACCAAGGGCACATGTTTACAGAATTTCTCATACTCATTTCTCACACTAAAGAACCCTTTTTGGGTAAGCATATTCCACAGACAGGTGTCCTGAGGAGCACAGTTTGGTAAAGGCTGGTATTTTGATTTGTTAATTAGCAAGCAGATATCATAGATATTTATGGTATACAATACAGTGTAGTGGCAAAATAAGCTATTAACATATGCATTATCTCACATCATTGTGTGTGTGTGTTGAGAACACTTAAAATATATTCTCTTGGCCATTTTGAAGTACCATATGTGTTTTTATTAACTCCAGTCACTATGATGTACAGTAGCTCTCTTGCATTTAGTTCTTTTTTTTTTTTTTGGTTTTTTTTCCCCCGTACCAGGAATTGAACTCACAACTTTGCGCTTGCTAGGCAGGCGCTGTGCCACTGAGCTAAATCCCCAGCCCCTCTTGCATTTAGTTCTATTGAAATAAGATTTTTGTGTCCTTTGGTCAAGATTTCCCCAGTCTCCTGAAGGCCCTGGTAACCAGCATTCTACTCTGTTTCAGAGAGTGGAACTGTTATAGATTCCACATGTAAGTGAGAACATGCGGCATTTGTCTCTCTCTGCCTGGCTTATTGCACTTTAGGTAGTGTTCTCCTGGCTCATCACATTGCTTCAAATGAAAGGATTTCATTCTTTTCTATGGCTGAGCAATATTCCATTGTGTATATATATGTACCCCATTTTCTTTATCCATGGATGGACATTTAGATTGATGCCATATCTTGCCTATTAGGAAAAGTGCTGCAATGAACATGGGTGTGGAATGTCCCTTCAACATAGCAATTTCATCTCCTTTGAACATATACCCTGTAGTGGGACTGCTGGGCCATATGGTAGTTTTAGGTTTTGAGGAGCACGCTGTTTCCTGTAGTGGCTGTGCTGACCGACACCCTCACCAATACTGCCCAGGGTTCCCTTTTCTCCACATCATCTTCAACACCATTATCTTTCATCTCTTTGATGACATCCATTCTAATAGATGCAAGGTGACATCTCACTATAGTTTTAAGCATTAATAGCTGTTTTTATTCAATAAAAAGGAGTGAATTCATCATGCAAATATTGACTGGGTGTTTACTACATGTCAGGTATTATGCTAGACACTGGGATTCAATTATGAAGACAGACACAAACTTCTTTCCATAAAGTAATGGTAGGCTTTTCTATTCCCGCATACTTTTTTTTAAAAAAAGTATAATTTATTTTTAAACCTTTAATATATATGAACTTTTTGTCTTTTGTATAGGTGAAAATAGTTGCTCTGAGAACAAAAAGACTCATGCTACAAGAGATCAAACCTGACTTTATAAAATTACGCTTTTCTATAACTGATAAAAAGCCATAAAATCCAAAAGACTACAGATAACCTGAAAAAATATTTTACAAAAAGCATGGCAGAAAATAGTTAATACCATGCTATACAAAGAGCTCTTACAAAACAATAACAAAATCAAACAGTCCACATAGAAAAATGAGCAAAAATATGAGCAGAAAATCCATGGAAGAAATTGAAAAGGGGCCAATAAATATGCAATGTCCAACATTACAATTAGTGTGAGAAGTTTCGATTAGAAAAGATGCCCATTTCTAGCTATTGAATTTTGAAAGAACTTTAAAAGATAATAAAAATGTTTTTATTATTGTCAATTGATACAACCTTTTAGGATGTTACCATTTTTGCTCCAATACCACATATAGGTATTCATCTTAAGTAAATAGTTAAAAGTGAATGGAAGTTAACATACTAAAATATTCAATGCAGCTTTATGGGGTAGGGGGAAGAACGCTGAAGACTGACCATTAACGGGTACCTGGTTAACTCAGCTGTTCTACATCTGTGCTATTCAATTTTATCTCACCACTGAACTCATTTATGGAAAAGATTTAAATGGTATGGGAAAATTTTATAATATATTGTAAATGCGAAAATTAGAGAAGATAAAGTTGTACATGAAGACCAGACCTGTGGGGAGAACATGTCACATAGATATATGCAAAAAAGATTAGCAATATAGTGGTCCCTTATCTGTGCTTTTGCATTCCATGGTTTCAGCTCCCTGTGGTCAGCTATGGTACGAAAACATTACATGGGAAACTCCAGAAGGAAACAATTCACATATTTTAAAATGTGTGCCATTATGACGAAGAAATGTTGTGCCATCCTGCTTGGCCCTATTTCTTCCTGGGATGTGAATCATGCCTTTGTCCTGTATATCCACCACATACACACTATCTTTCCATTAGTGACTTAGTTGCCATCCAGGGCATCAGGTCAACTATTGCAGTATCACAGTGTTTGTGTTCAGTTTACTCTTATTGTATTTAATGGTGTCCCCAAAGCACAAGAGTAGTGATGTAAATGAGGCATCTAAGTGTCTAACACAGAAAGGCAGGTTAACTGGCCCTACGTGGTCACACTCTAGGACACAGAGGAAAAACACAGCGTATGTGATGGTCAGTACCCTCTGTGGTTTTGGGCATTGATGGGGGAGTGTTTTTGAACCTGTCCCCTGTGGAGCAGGAGGCACTACTATACACCTGAAGCTGTCACAATATCCAGGTGACAGGATTTCAGGAAAGCTATTTGTCTTTTTTTCTTTGTATTTTCTTATTTTTTAAAAATAACATTGTTCCTATAATCAGAAAAAAAACTTCAAAAATGAAATTTCCAATATTTTAAAGTTTGCCAAACTCTTATCCTGACATTATTACATTACTAAACTTAGCATTCTGATTATACCTAGCAGATTTATATTCTGATTCAACAGATACAACAGGCTAAACTAAAGATGCCAATAACAAAACCAGAATTAAATTCTCAAGTCTGAGAGTTCCAGAACACATGATCTGCATTAATCCCCAAATACACCCCCCTTTCTTATTGCCAAGGCATAGGTAGGCGGTGGTGTGTGGGGTGCCTGTCCTTAGGCATGTGCCACTGCCCATGAGAAATGACAGGCAAAATAGTGTTCATCTTTTGGCAAGAGTTGGAGGACCAATAGTTTGGTCTTATAAACAGTGTTTCATTTTCACCTTCTGATTTTGATTAACTCAATGCATAATGAAAAAGTGAAAAAGGGACAAAGACATATGAGGTTTGATTCCATTTTTTGAAAAGAATAGCGCTTTCTTAGGATGCAAGAAAAGCACTTAGCCATGACCACTTGTAGAAACACAAATTTAGAGACAAAACAGAATAATTTGTTTGTTTCCTCTCTAACCAAGTCAATCTATAAAAAAAATTAGGGCAAATTTGCCTATTATTATTATTATTATTTTATTATTTTGAGATAGGAGTTTGCTACATAGTTCAGGATGGTCTTGAACTCACTATGTTGCCCAGAGAGACCTCATGGCCATCTTTCTGCCTCAGCCTCCCAAGTACTGGGATTATAGGTGTGCACTACTATGCCTGGCTATTATCTGTTCTTATATCCATGCAATTTTTCTGTAAAGGAAAGTTTTTACTAAATTGGACAAGATGGCTTCACAGAGAATCAATGGGTTGACTACCTTGTACACTAAAAAAGAAAAATACCCTATTCTTATAAATTACTTGAATTTTAGTTTTCTTCCCTACTCCAAAATTTTTATGTTAGAAGTACTGGAAATACATCTTCAGTTCTAACTTTATTTTTTATTTATGGATAGGGACTTGCTATTGCAGGCTGGCCTTGAACTCACAGCAGCACTCCTGCCTCAGCCGCCCGCGTGCTAAGATTATAGGCGTATGCCACCATGCCCAGCTTCAACTCTGATTTAAAACAGGCAGATTTATCTTCTGTTTGTTTTTCTTTCAAGACCAGGTCTCACTATGTAGCTCAGGCTGGCCTCGAATACATGGTGATCCTCCCAAATGCCGGGATTACAGGCGTGCACCACCATGCCCAGCTTGTTTTGTTTTTAAATGTGCATTAAAACAAAATAACTAACCACACAACAGCCACACCTTGTATCCCAGCAAAGCATCCCCCTTAGCCCACCCATGAAATCTTGGGTGTGAAGAGGGAGGAGGAGTCCTTCCCCCTTCAGCTTCTTCCTCCTGGCCTGAGTCAGCACAATGTCGAAGGCAAGTTCTCTCTGGGCTTCCAATAAACCAACCTCAGCTGCTCCTTCCTGCATACCTTTAAAGGTGTTCATTAGAAAAAGATTGAGAAACTCTCAAGATACTATGGCAACAGAGTGGCAAAGTAAAGGGATCCAGACTGCACAATTTCAGCTCGCTAACGGCTCTCCCAAGTTCCGACCCCACGTGGTGCAGGTTCAAGAGGCTGAGCGAGCGAGAGACCCTGGTCAAGTTGCACTGTTGTGACCCACTGGTGTACATTTGTTCCCAGGATCCCTTTTATCACCAAGCTGTAAGAACAAGCAGGGCTGGAGGTGGACAGGGGAGATTCTAGTCAGAGCCAGAGCTGATTAAACATTCCACTGGCGTTTTCAAGAGCCAAATTGTTTTTGCAAGATTCTTCCATGAAAGGCAAATGTAAGGTTTTGATGGCCCAAAATCACCACTGGCAGGACTACTGCCCAGGGAATTGCACAAGCAACCCTGGCCCAGGGTCCTTTTGCTTTTTCAGTGTGTCACCGCCACCGCAGGTGAGAACATTTACTCCTCTGGTCTCAAATCCGGGGTACGTCGTAACTGTCCACTGCCTTGCCTGTCCATGCAGTGGATTCTGGCTTTCACTGACTTATTCTGCAAGCAGGAGTGTGTCAAGATGCTAGCTTGGAGCAGGCTTTTTTAACCATTCTGCCTAGGAAGTCCCCAGTAGATTGTGACAGGGACGGCAACCACACAGAATTACTGAACAACTGAGATGTCCAAAGTAATACTTTAAGTCCCTGAAAGGAAGACACCTGGGCAGATGCTTCATGTGCAAATGGCATGAAAATGATCAGTTGCCAGGCAGGATGTGCCAGGATATACCTCAGGCCTCTCCTGCCAGACTCACTGGCTGCTCCAGGCAGAGCTTTTTCCCCCGGATAAAAGCCAGAGCCAGAATACAGACAATATCAGAACCAGCAAAGCATGATACCAGTTGCAGCACAGAAACACAAAGCTGAAGTATTTGTGCCCCAGGCCAGCTGGGCTCTCTAGCACCCTGGGTCTATACGGAAACCTTGGAGGTCAGCTGTGCTGGCGGAGGGAGCCGGCTGTGCAGAGCAAGGTCAGTGTTCCTGGCCCAAACTTCACAAACTGTACTAGTCCCCAAAGCTGGAGCGCACATAGATAGCTATGCAGAAATACTCTTTCTCTTCCACTCACAGCACACTTTCTCAAGACAGCTGGCCAGGAGAGACGTCACGGTGGTTTTTCTTATGAAAATTCCAGACCTGTTCAGAAAATAACCCCATGACCTTCCTTCCTAGTGTGAGGCGCCTGAGCTACTGACTTCTGGCTGTCCTCTAATAGGAAGCAAATCTTTCTCTTTTTTTTTTTTTTTTGTACTGGGGCCAAGGCATTTTTCCTCCATTCTTCCTGATAAGACAGGAAAATCATATGTACAAACAACCCTCCAGCAACACTGAAAACTGCTGAAGTACATTAGAAAAATGTTCACAACCAGTTTATAAGACGGCCATCAGCCACCCTTCAGCAGTTCTTCATTCCCTCCCCAAAGGTTCAGCTGATACCTTATAAAGTTGACATCTTTTCTCGTTTGTATTCAGACTGGGGGAACTTTACTTACAGCCTTAAAAGTTATTTGCACCCTTTGATCTTGTCATCAGCGACCAAAGCATCTTGGAGATAAATATTTGTGAGTAAGTACCGAGTGTGGTGGCGCACGCCTGTAATCCCAGCACTCGGGAGGCTGAGGCAAGAGGATCCTTACAAGTTCGAGGCCAGCCTGGGGCTACATAAGTGAATTCAAGGCCAGCCTAAACTGCATAGTGAAACCCTGTCTCAAAAAGATTTAAAAAAAAAGGAGTTTGTGAATAAGGTTAAGTGGGCCAGGCCCTCGCCGTCTAACAACGTCCCAGGGAAAGAGAGCCCTACCTAAGGAAGAACGCCTCTACCGAGCTGTGCTCTAGGGTTCAACTTATCTGGGCTCCAGGATTCTTCCCTGCTAGCTCTGTCACTTGTGCTGATAAGGTCCTCTTCCCACTCTTCCCTGCATACTTCAACTACTTCTGCCGTGAGTCCTCCAGCTGTCTTCGCTTAAGCCTTGGCTCCTGAACAACTCTGCCAATCGAACCGGTTCCTCTCCGCCTCCTCTTCCCCCTGACTGAAGCCCTGAGTCCCTTCTGGGGACCCCGGAGGCCCCGGCCGCACAGCCCAGGGACTCTGCCAACTTTCAGCAACTCTCCAGGTCCCACTTTCTCCTCTCCTTCAGGCAGCAATACCCTGCCAGGCCCCACATCTTCTGCTATTTCCTCTGCGCCCTCACCCCCTCTTTTACAGTAGCGCCCTCACCGCTACTGTCCTGTTCACACCCCTTTCTTCGGGTTCCAAAGGGCGTCTGAAGCAGGCCGGTGCGCCCACCCGCCACCCTCAACCCACTGCCCAGGACCCCCGTCGGTCAGGGCCGCACCGCCCGCTTCCCCGGAGCCGCAGTGCCCGCGCCGCACCCACCTTCCGGGCCGCGGAGACGCCCCCGCCCGAGCGCGCTGGCCGCATCGGAGAGCACTGCCACCCGACTACGTGAGCGTCGGTGTGTCCGGGAGGCTGGGCCTGGGCTGGGTTCCAGGGGTGAAGACAAGGAGGAGGAGCCCAAATTATCGCCCCAGGGGAGGCGGGGCCGGGCGGGCCGGGGCGGGCCGGGGCGGGGCGCGGGAGCGGCGGACAGCAGCAGAACCGCGCGGCTCGAGCACCCCCGCGCGGGCCACCGCACCCCGCGCCCCCAGGCCTCGTGGACCTGTGACTACCAAGTGTGTGATTAAAGGGCGATCTGAACCAGACTGCAAAGGAGTTGGGACAAGCAAACACAACTTTATAGCAATAGGGTTTGCAACCCACCCCCATTGAACCCAGAACCTTTGCACTGAGCTGCATTCAAGTGCTTTTTCAAGTTTTTAAATTTTGAAACAGATTCTCGCTGAGTTGCTAAATTGCCCAGGCTGATCTTGAATTTGTCATACTCCCGCCTCAGCTTTCCAGAGTGCTGCGATTACAAGCACCCCCCACTCCTGGCTCTGGAAGCAGTTTTATTTATTTTCACTTTGTGCCCGGGAAACCGAAGTAGAGAGAGAGAAGAGACAGACAGACAGACAGAGAGACACAGAGAGACAGAGACAGAGCGCTCGTCCTTGCGCTGCAGAGCCCACCACTCAATTCCAGGGCACCCTCCACAAGGCCAGGTCCCAGGCTGGCAACCGGTGCCAGGTTCGAACTTGGGACCTTGGGGAGCAAGGTGGTCTGTTGTCGCAGCCCCGGGGCAGCGGGGGGGGGGGGGGTCACGTGGGTCAGGCCAGCTCGGTCCCGCTCCGGCCCCTGGACTGTCCTCTCCCTGCATTCGAACTCCGGCCCGGTGTAGCGACACCACGTGCCACAGCAAGCCCGACGGCGAACGCGCGGGCGGCAGGAACCGGGGGCTCCCCGCGCGCCCCTCGCTGCCCGGGACTCGAGGGCAGGGTACGTACCGGGCACCGCTGCCAGTCCCAGGGCGGCCGCGCCAGCCCGCCGGCCGCTACCGTGCTGGGTCAGGGCTCAGGTCCGCGCCCTCCGCGGGCAGCTGCAGCGTCCGCGCGCTACTCTGACTCCCGCGGCCGCGCTGCCCGCTTTAACTTTCCGGCCACCGCTCGGGACCGCAGCCCGGACCCTCGTGCTGGTGAACGCCCCCCGCACCGCCGACCAATAGCGGCAGCCGCAGAGCAGCGCCCCGCCTCGTTCTGGGCAGCTCGCCGGGAGCGACAGGGCTGCGGTCCAGGCGCGCAGGCCGTGTGGTTTCCTACGGGAGGACGTCCCGTTACAGCGAAAGAGCCGGCCTCCGGCAGCGTGCAAGGCTCCCCCTCCTCGGCAACATTCTGGCCAGCCCAGGCGTCCAAAAGGCAAGGCAGTTGTGCACTCCGTGCCTTCCTGCAACACTAGCCTAGCACGGGGCTCACAGGACAGTGACCTCCCCACCCTGTGCGGAGCTGAAGGGTCCCTGAGACAACATCACGTGTGTTTCCCTCGGGTTTATGGGAGTCTCTCGGCGTTGGTATGCTCAGCCCCTACAACTGTGCCCGGAATTACTGGACCTTGCTTTGTGCCCATCACGTCCAGGTGTTAGCTATGAAAATTAGAGTAAAACCTTTTACAGTACAGTTGTATTGGGGCAGACGAAGATTTCTCAGGTAGGTATATTTCCGAGATTAGCGGACTTGAATCTGTCACATTAATAACCTTCCCGGTCTTCAGGCCTCTCCGTTGTCCCTGATGCACCTGAAGGTCAACAGAGAACGGTGACTTTAGTAGTCTGAACCAGAGGCTCCGCCTCTCATGAGAGATCAGTTTACCTGTCAGCTGATCTGAGCTATCCACCTTAGGGAAAGGCTCTCAGGTTCCTAGTTTTAAAGACCAGTAAAATTTTAGAATGTTGTTAATTGATACAAGATTGCCAACCGTCTTAGTCACTTTCTGGAACGTTCCTGGGACAAATTACCTGACATCCACCATTTAAAGGAAGAGTTTATTTTGGCTCAAGCCCTCAGTCCATGGTTGTCTGGGTCCAAGGCAGGAGTGGTGTGGTGGAAGGGCCCGGGCCAGGACAGCCCCTAGTTCTATGGCAGCGGGAAGCAGAGAGAAGGGAGGAGTCTGGCGGGACACACCCCCAGGGACCACCTCCAACCAGGCCCCACCTGCTAGTACACTCAGCTGTGAACTCATCCATGGACCAAGCCATTCATGAGTAGAGCAGCCCATGATCCAGTCCCCTTCCACACGCATGGAAATGTGGGCGGACACTGTAGATCTAAAACATAACAGCAACTTTTTATTTTTATGTTTTATTTCTGTTAGTACATGCTTGCAGTATATAATGTTTACATTCGTTGTGTAAAGTTGGTAAGCGTACCTAACACATTTTAATTCCTATTTTCATTTCCTTTCTTTCTCTCCCCTCCCCTCTTTCCATCTCTTGATCCCCTCCCCATTTGAAAAAGATCTGTCTTCCTATTTCCCACTATATATCTTTTATTTTTCTCTTTATTTATAATTTGGGTTTCTCATAGGAGAGAAACCATATACTGTTTCGGCTTGCATGACATCACCTTTTTAACGTTAAAGACATTAAAACAAATCCCACCATCATTTTTCTAAAAAGTACTAACAACAATAATAATAAAGATGCAGGAAGGGCATATTCATCCTTGACATAAGATGTACTGAGCATTCTGAAAATTTATTATATTGGATATGGTGTCTGAGAATTTCTGCTTCAAAGGATATAGGAGCAGCTTCCAATTTTACTAGTTATGCAAGACTGAAACATTACTCCATTACAGTAATCCAAACAAACTTTCAGCTCTACGGAGAGCTTCCCTAGATGCAGTTTCCTGGTCTGAAGGGTAAATGGTGATCATTACTCTTCCTCTCTTCTGATGGGCAAATTGGATAAGGGACCACCTGGGAAATCTGCTCTTACTGGGTGGTTGTCATGCTCTCTTTGCCAACTCTTAGCCCCACTTTTGTTGGCTGATGAGTAGGCTGAAGATTTATTAAGCCAAGTCTCTCAAGCATAGTGAGTGTGTTAGAGGAGTGAGCAAAGATAAAGAGCCAACAGGTATTGCAAAACGTATGCAGGCAAAGGGTGATCTGAACCAAACTGGGAAGGAGTTAGGACAAGCAAATGCAACTTTATAGCATCAGGGTTTGGAAGCAGGTTTCTTACACAGATCTAGGAAACCAGGGGTAATAATTTCCCCTGTGGTTGAGATGACTATTTCAGACCCAGAAAGTGGAGCTAAACTTAGTTGTGGCACACCACAGTCTTGGTAGGTAGGAGTGTGGCGTCTATGGGTTTGAAAAGGGCACAGTTTTTTTTTTTTCTTCAACCAGAAGACAGCTAGCAGCAAGCTCAGCAGGGCTGGAGAAGGCAGCAGGCCCAGAGCCCCGGGCCCTGAGAGTTTTGCCCATCCTTGGACATGATCTTGTCCCACTCTCTCTTTGAAAGACAACAAAGAGGGAAAGTGAACATGGAAAATTTCAGCCTCAATCAATGCACACCAAGTGCCTTTTATAATAGCTGGCACTGAATTTTAGTCTTAATTTCATTTATTAAAAACCACTCCCTAAGAAAAATAAACCAGAAAATTTAGCAGCAGCTAAGCATAGCTAATTATTATTCTTCCATAAACTGTATCTTTAAAAAATTTTTCAAGACTGTCAGTAGTTGCATTGTGTTATTTCTTCATTAAATTGGGGCTCATCTGATTGCTTCAGTCCATTCATTCATTCATTCATTCATTCGTTCATTCATCAACACATTATTAAGCAGTTGCCATAAGCCAGGATGCTTGTAGAAAAATGAAAAAAATATAAAATTTTTCCTGCCCACACACACCCAAGAAACTCATAGGCTGATAAATAGTGGCGTGGGACAAGTGAATAGAGGATGAGCCTTCGTGTTTGGGGAGCTGGGAGGGAGCCTCCCTTCTGTGTGTGTGTGTTTGTGTGTGTGTGTGTGAGAGAGAGAGAGGGAGAGAGAGAACACAGGCTGTGAGAGTGGAGAAGGTCAGAGAAGACTCCCTGAAAAGTCACCCCTGGTAGGATCTTGAGGGAGGAGGTGGAGTTGAGTAATTGAGAGGCAGCAAGGCAGGAATTGGCCAAAGCACAGAATTCTATATTTCCCACCGGAATTTCCACCCTGTTGATTAAACATTAGGTCCCCTTTCTGGTTAAAGATTAGACACTGTGCATTTCTTTTATTCATGTGTTGACACCAGCTTTCTGCTCATGCAGAAAGTTTTAAGCTGCATTATTGGTGCTTTATGTCCTTCTCAATTTAATGCATTTCAAAAATCTCATCTAAGATTTTGGAAGAGAAACCTTTTTTTTTTATGAGTTCTGATATTGCTTTTCTTTAAATGAAAATTATTATAAAATGAATCCAAATAATAATAACCAGCATCAAGAATCAGAGTGAACAGAGAGAACATTCTTTTGCTTGATCAGAATAGAAAGTGGGAAAGACTGTTTCCAAACTGCCTAAGTCTATATTTAGATGAGTGGAGCTATTTGCACCTGTCAGAGCTGCCGACGTGTTCTGGGCGCATTATGTTACCTGGGGCCCTCTGTCCCTTGTTCAGGTTCCACTGACACTGACTTTTGAGGTCATGTTTTATGGGGACAGGCAGATGACTACTTACTCTATAAGACTCTGTCTGTGGAGAATATATCCTTTGCCTGTGAGAAGACCTGGACTAGTTTGAATATCAAGTCTTCTAGAGTTGGTTAGAACATTTTCCTCACTCTTGAGGGATAATATTGGTGTACGGATGGCTCTTTCAAATGCTATGTGACTACAGAACTACCTTTTAGCTCACAGCTTTATCCCTTGTGTCAGTACTTTGCATGAGTTTCATATCATTTCTTTAATTTGTATTACCATTTTTTAAAAAATCAGGATAGTGTATGTGTGTGTTTGTACATAGCTTTTAAAATTCCTGAGTACTCATTTTGAGTGTATTAGTATTATAATTTTTCTGTTCTGACATGCTTTTAAAGTTACAATTACTAGCACGTATTCATGTGTAATTGTGACATTTACATTCATGCATGCACGGTGCCTTTTTCCTATCCACCTTCCCTTCTGACATACTTTTCAATGGTGACATAGTGTTCTTTCATATAATTGATTTAACTCTCTTATCATGGGGCACTTATTTTTTTCAGATTTTCTCTGTTGTAAATACACTCTGATAAGCATCTTCATATTTAAATCCTTGTCCATGTTCCTGAGTATTTCCTACAGTCCTATTTCCCACAGATTAGACATTTTTCAGACTGTATTCATTTTGCCAAACTTTTGAGAAAGGTTAGTATTGACTTTTTTATGCTTGCTACTAGGGAAAAGCAAGTTAAATGATTCTAATAAAGTCTTGGTTTGTAGGCTTTGGACAAATTACACCTCATTTTACAAAACAAAGAATTTTTACTAATGAATCTTGTGCTCTGTGTGTGGGTGAAAATAGCTGCACACCTCATCATTTGCTTTAGCTTTGACTCTCCAAGTAAACAGCCAATTTGTGCTATGAATGGAGACTTCACAACCCATGTTATTGACTTAAATGGCATTAAGTGGTGGCTGAGGTCAGGTGTAGAGGCTGGGAACCAGGGAATACCACCTTGCCACAGACTTATAAAGCATTGGGCAAAACCCAGTGTATATTTATTTTCTTTGCTCATTCATCCCCTAGTCATGATTGGTGTGATCATAAATTATATTTGAGCATGTCATTCTGTATATATATATGGTACAGCATACACCAGAACTGCATCCAGAATTTCCTGACAAGTGGCATGCATTTTTGTGAGCAGAAAAATATGCCAAGCGGCTTTTAGGACTATCAGGCCACTTGGCTGTTGCGTGCCTTGCACCTTAGATCTGGGATGTTTCTGTTGCATGCCTCTGGAGTCAAATGACTCAGATAGTGCAAGCACTTCAGATTTTGTATAAGCAATTGTATTTCAGCTGGTTCCAGCCTGGTATTTATAAGATCGCCTGGATCCCACTGTCAGGAACATGCAATGAGATATATTGAAATTAAGGAAACAATGACTCACTTGAGTGATGAGAGCAAACAAACTAAGTATTTA